AATTAACGGATTCGGGTATTTTGAGTCTAATTCGAAAGAATACATTAGCATGATTATTACATCCATTAAAAAATAATGAATATAAATATAACCCAAAACGAAAAATATACATATAAGGAAGAGAAGGCCGTAGTCAATAATTTTAACCGCACATCACCAAACATTTTGATTCCGTGTAGAGTAATTAAGGTCACGTAAGATTATTCCACTTTATTTGCAATTAAAAAAAATGAACTAACAGGAAAGATCATGGATAAATAGCCAGTCAGTAAACATTGGAATTCATAGGAATTCGTTCAGTTAGTCACCAGATTCGAATGAAGCAAGATTCCACAAAGTCACATTCAATTTCACCTTTCGTGTTTGCTTAAGCCATTAGTGATTACACTCCTTAAAGTTTTAAGCGAATCTTTTGAACTTAAAGAAATTTGAATACCAAAAAAAGCAGAATGAACTTTTGATTTAGCGGGGTGTGCGATAGACTTACCTCCACGTGGTGCACCCTGGGCAATATATACTCATACGGCAAAAAAGTCTATTAACCGGCAGTTGACTTCAAACTACCAAGGCCCCCCTGTATGACATATTCGACCACTTCCACAGTACTACAACACATTTTTTTCTAAATTTTCAACCTTCGTCTTTGAAACCCTCTTCAGTTCCCCTCCTCTCGACCTTTTTTCACTTTGATGTTCCTTCCCCTCTGTGAAGCCTGAAGTCAACTAAAGGCTTAATGATAACCATCAAAACGCCTGCCATTTGATATAAATAAATAAATAAACTTTTGATTTAGCTGAGAATAGTAGTGGAACGTAATTCATTAACCAAAATTCGAAATGGCACACCAAAGAACAAACAACAAACACAAATGAGATAGTAAACTAGCTAAGTACAATATTATTAACCTAAAATTTTCCATTCGAAAAACGGACAGGAAGGTCTAAAACTACAATAGCATAAATTACGACATTTTAAAATGTTTTAACAATAAAAGAAATCCATCTGAATAGGATCACACAAAAATACAGCCTATGACAATCACACATAACCACCTAAAGCACATTCTAAGGTTTAAGCACACACACATAGATTAAGTAACCAATAAGCTCTGATTCAATAGCATGAGATTATATCGTTGGTAGAAATGTTACGTAACGATCACTAACCACTGATACTAAGCAGTGCATAAACTCTGAAACACATTAAAAAAGACAATATTAAGTAACATAAAGGTAACCCAAAGGCAATAAATGATGAAAATCAAAAGCTAATATACCTGTATCTTAGAACTTGTAAGAGTCATCTGTCCCTTTCGAACGATTTTTGTGTAGAGAGCATTGTTAACCTCCCTATCACGACACCACCGACGTATGTCGTCAACAGCTTCCCTGAGCATAGTAATGAAGATTACAAAGCAAAGAGGTGCCCAATAAGTATAGATGTAGCCAACTCGAAGCGGTTCGATGAACTGTGAGCAAGCCATGATGAGGAAAATCAGGTTAAGGAAAACGCTGAATTGCTCAAAAAGCACCTAAAGCATAGAGGCATATTTAAGGCGCTACATTAAAAAGGGAAAGAAAGAAAGAAAAAAGGAAGGCAAACTCACAAGGGGAATAAAAGTGAGGATGTTATATTTGTTGTTTCTAATAACATTTGGGGGCAGATTGTGAATACGATTGGGACGTCCAATACAAACCATTCGAGAATTGTATTCTTTCTTTCGTTTACATCTTGAACAGCACTTTTTGAAGA